GGAAAATCACAGTTTCTTCCCTTCCTGTAGACCTGCAAAGATCCATGCTGGATCCAGTGGTATTTTGGATGACAGAGTGAGCACAGCAAGCAGCTGCATAGATTTCCAAAAAAAGTTGAGGCTGCAGTGTTTTGCAGTGCACTGCATTTCAAGCCTGCCTCTGTGCTTTATTTGTGTCTGAACCTGCAGGTGATTTTCATCTTTCAGCCTAATTCTTCTCCACAGTGAGATCAATCATGTGCTGGTGTCATCAAGGTAAGAACAAAGCCCGGCTTCACCAGTGATTCCTCAGAAGTGATGATACCACATTCCAGGGCCTTATTCACCTTTCTTGGCTCTGTGCTAATTCTCTGCTCATTTCATTTAATTTCTGTGGCCGTCTGTTAACCTCATCAGCTGGGGGCAGAACTCCCTCAGCTGTCCCTTCCATGCTTCCGATGGCACCTACTCCAAGCTTACAGCAGCTCTGATCCTGCCATCTGAGCAGCGCCAAAGGATTCCATCTTTCTTCTCCTCCTCTGGACTTGCTTCCTTTGAGAGAGTTGTGGAGGTGTCACAGTCATGCTCCTGCAGGCTCTGCTAGACTTCCCTCTAGGCTGACAATTTCTGCTTCCTATGGCCCTTTCGTATGGTTTAGAAAGGGAAACACTGACACCAGTGCAGAGAGCAGGCAGAGCCACCTACTGAGCTGGGTCCCTGTCCTGGCTTGTCCCCTCACTCCTTGGCAGGGATCACTGGATGCATGGGACCTGGACCCACCGGGGTGATGAGCAAACCCCATGAAGACTGTGGCCTTGAAAGGTGGTGCCAAACCTACCGGGACAGCTCTGGCTGTTGCAGATAAACAACAAAGCTTCTGTGTTGGGTGAAAAACAGTTGACACTTCTGGTTAAGCAGAGCAATCTGACACAGCTTTGTAATCAGCTCTGATGTGACTAAGGGGGTTCAGCTAGAGATCTTCAGATGTCCCTATCCACCTACGAATTTTTGCAATACATGAAGAAATAGAGGCCTGCCATGGAAAATTTGAGCTGAGCCTGAAGATATTTTGAAGTGCTGAGCCCAGAAATGAATGCTCTTTGTATCTTCTAGCTGTTACCTCCTCACTTCCCCTTGGGTGAATGATCCCTTCTGCTCAGTCTCTTTGGTCTTTCACACCAGTTTTAAGCCAATAGATGATACAAGACTGGCATAATCAAAACCATCGCACAGGCAGAGTCATGAACTCTCCTTCAGACCTAGAAAAAGTGAACCCTCCAGCTACTGCTGGTCTGTGAGGAAAACCTTTCTTGCTTCAGGAAAGTCCATAATCACCTCCTTGCACTAGCTTTAAAAAAAAAAAGAAGATCAATTATCTCTCCCACATACACACTGCTTCCTCTGGGATCAAGGGCTTCTTTAGTCCCTCTGGTTCGGAGACATATTGCTCAGCCACTTCCCATTTGCCATATGGGAAACCAAAACAACTTGCCTTCCCAGATCCTTAAGAAGCCTGTGTACTGTTCCCTCCCACCTCTCTGCCTTATTTCAAGAGTGGAGTCAAAGACACACTCATGGCTGATCCAGTCTGTGTGTTTTCTCAGGGAAGAAGTCTGTGTTTACGTGTGTGGGCTCAGACTCGGGACATATTGCAGATGGACAGGATGGGAGTGCTGTATATCATCAGTGGATGAGTTTGGGTTTTCTTTCAGTGGTGGGTTGACCCTGGCTGGACCCCAGACATCCACTAAAGCTGCTCTAATGCTCCCCTTCTCAGCAGGATGGCGGACAGAAAATATAACAAAAGGCTTATGGGTCAAGATAAGGACAGGGAGAGATCATTCGCCAATTACTGTCACAGGCAGAACAGACTTAACTTGGGGGAAAATTATTTAATTTATTACTAATCAGATCAAAGTAGGGTGATGAGAAAATAAAACCAAATCTTAAAACACCTTCCTCCTACCTTTCCCTTCTCCCTGGGCTCAGTTTTGTTTCTGATTTCCTTTACCTCCTCCCCTCCAGCAGTGCAGGGAGTTGCAGTCAGTTTATCACTTGTTGTCTCTGCTGCTCCTTCCTCCTCGGGGTGAGGACTCCTCACACTCTTCACCTGCTCCAGCGTGGGGTTCTACCCATGGGAAACAGTACTCTACAAACTCTTCCAATGGGAGTCAATCCCACAGGCTGCAGTTCTTCATTAACTGCTCCAGTGCGAGGTCCCTCCACAGGGTGCACTTCTTCAGGAACAGACTGCTCTAGTGTGAATCCCCTGTGGAGTCACCAATCCCACCAGCAAACCTGCTCCGGTGTGGGCTTCTCTCTCCATGGATCCACAGGTCCTGCCAGGAGCTCCAGCATGAGCTTCCCATGGGGTCACAGCCTCCTTCAGGCATGCCCCTGTGGGGTCCTCCACAGGCTGCAGGTGGATCTCTGCTCCACCGTGGACCTCCATGGGCTGCAGCGGGGACAGCCTGCCTCACCAGGGTCTTCCCCACAGGCTGCAGAAAAATCTGTGATGCCTGGAGCACCTCCTCCTCCTCCTTTCACACTGACCTTGGTGTCTGCAGGCCTGTTTCTGTCACATATTCTCTTTCATTCCTCTTTCTCACTGCAGTTACCCTTCATCCCCCACACTCCGTTACTGTGATATCCCAGGGGCTCTACCACCGTCACTGATGGGCTCAGCCTTGGCCAGGGTGGGTCTGTCTTTGAGCTGTCTGGCATTGGCTCTATGAGACATGGGGAAAGCTTCTAGCAGCTTTCACAGAAAACAGCCCTGCAGCCCCTCCATGACTAACAGCTTGCCACGCAAACCCAGTACTATTTCCTGGAGAGCTTTTATGGGTTTAGCAAAACATGAGCAGTCACAGGGGTGAGGAGAGACCTAAGGAGTGAGTATTCAAGGGTCTCAGCCACATAAGATGGCTTAAAGGCCCAGTATGGTGCCATCAAATACAGCTTTGCTCTTGTGGGGGGCATTTTATATCAGACACAGAAGATGATGCTTTCAAGTCTCAGGCTGTTCAGGAAGCCTGAGTCCCAGATGGAAGTATCTATGCACTGCAGTAGTTACTCATTTGAGCCTCATAGAACTGGGATATTGGACCAGACAAGCTTCACCTTGTCAGGTGTATCTGTGCAGACAGGCTATGGCAGATGGCTCAGTGACTTGCTGCAAGTCAACCATTAGAGAGGTCAGAAGAGCACATGACCCATGTGTGTGCTGTGGATGACATCTGACTGATGCTACTTGTCACCAGGGGGCTGTAGGAGCCGTATGTTCAATAGACCTCTGGTATTTTGAAATTATGTTTATTGTTCCCATTCTCTACCGTGTATCTTAAACACTTCATATCAAGAAGTCCAATTCAGCTTTTCTAGTGTCCTATCTGGGTTCAAGATGTTTTATTCTCAATTTAGTCACTTAATCTATGAAGTGGTGTTATGTCAGCAAGGTGTTTGGCCACATGTCCTGCAACGAAGAATATTATCCCTAAATCCAAAATGTTACTGGGGCTTCCTGCATTCAAGATGGAAGATCCTGAAGCCAGTGAAGGCTGTAAGATGTAGCAAAAATAGTCAGTTTCCAGAGCCTTGTGATTATCTGTCTGTCTACTTCTCTGGCAGCTTCAGTAGAGTCTAATGTCTTAGACTTTCCCAGGTCTTACAGCAAGTCATGCATCATTCTAGGATGCATTTATTAGGTTACATAATTTGCAATGAAAATTTTCAAAGCCCCTTACTTGAAGCATCCTTCAGCAGCTTTTCTGTTGTTACATGTCCAAATGACTTGACAAAAAGGTCTTTGCTGGGCAGCACTTCCCAATATGAACCCAGGTAGCGCCCCATTAGGTTTGTCCATAAGCACACCAGAAATCCCATCTGAAAACTTGTAGCTGTTTGATGCTTTCTTATGGGAAGGACAGTTTCTTAAAAAGTGCTTATAAATTTTTCCTGTGTCAGATTCAGTCTATAAAGCAGCTGAAGCTGTTGTATATGGCTCCAACAAACCTTCTGAGCTTTCAGGGCAGCAGCATGGTAAATATGAACCCAGATTTCAGCTGGGAGCTTGCTGGTTTTTTCACAAAGTAAATTTCACAGAAGACTCAGTAGGGATGTTTGGGAAACCAACCTTGTAATTCAAATGAGTCTGGAGATTTTGCTCATAACTAAAGAAAATGCAGATTGCTTCAGGGTCTGTGAATCCCTTTCCATAACTGTAGAAATAAGCCTTCTTGTAGAGCGCTGCTAACAGTGTACCATGTCGTAGTTTCTCTTTGGGAGAAGATCCAGTTCCATCTCAGTTTCTCTATGCTTGAAAGGGTTCAAAGATCAAATCCTGGCTAAAGGTCTACCATCTGCAGCAGTATCCCTATAGGTGTTCCCAGTATTCCCCAGTGCTGCTTTTGCTTTTATTTCCAAGAGTGAAAAGCTGACAGATCACCGATGAGATCCCAGACTGCAGACAAAAAAGGAAGACTGGTTTTAGGGAATTGGGATGCAGAGTGACACCTGTAGTGTCCCAAATGCTATACAGCAGAACATCTTAGTGCTGTACATGTTCTCATCACTGAGGACTCCGACAAGGACCTCCAGCAGGAGCAAGTCCTTCTCCCTTAACTTGGAACACAAAGGCTGAACTCCAATCTCTTCTTTCAAGACCTGCTTGTGCTGAAAAAAGGCACCACACTGAGAGAACAGGCAGCACAACCAAACATAGCTCAGACTGATACCTCTCAGAGTGGAGGGCGCACCTTTTGTTGCTTTTCTTGATCTCGAACGGATTTATTACTGGGAGAGGGATCGCTGGAGTCCTTTAAGCATAACTTTCTTGCCTCAAGGGCCCCCTGGTGGCACAAAACCTGACATGTCTGTAAATACTTAACCGAAGAATTGTCAGAAGCCTTCATCTGCGTGTCTCTGTACTCAAAACGCCAAGCACGGGGCATGCTGTTAGCTGTCTCTCAGAGTAGAGGAATCGGGAATGGCTCTGATCACACCGCTGTTGGCTATGAAGAACCTATATTGGACACCCAACAGCAGAATAGGCTCCTGAGATCACTGCAACTTTCTGGAGAACCTGTTTTAGGGTTGTCAGTTGTAGAACTGCCTTGGGGAAACAAACTTCTGGGTTTAGCTGGAAGGTTCACAAGTCCCCAGACATTCACAGCAATTGTCCCCAGTATCAGTGTTGCACTGCATTGCACTTTAGGACACTGCTTGGACACTCCACTTCTCCCAGAGCCATTTACAGATATCAGCCACATATTGAGTGTAATTCTATGTGACAGCAATAGCATTTTAAAAGTTTTCTGTCCTTTCCACCCTTAGTACAGTTTTTCATCCACTCAGTTGTGCTCAGGCAGCTACCTGTAGGAACCTGTCATAGAAGTAATTTTAGTTGTTCCCTATTCTAATTACACACTCACACTTTCTTCTCTTCCTCCTTTAATACCAAAATTATACACTGGTCTGTCTTAGAACCCCATGAAGAGCCGTATTTCAGGAATTGTTCAGGGGACAGTGAGTATGTAGCCAGGGCCTGTCATTCCCAGTGGCACTGAGACAGGAAGGCAAATTTGGAAGAGTCTCTTGGGTCAGTTTCCTCATGAGAGCAGCTGTGAGGTGGAATCTCACCCTCGAGCACCTGGCAAAGTTTCCAGGTTATCTTCTGACCCTTCAATGAGCATGCCCCTTCACTTTGAGGATGTCTCTGTTTTTTATATCCACCCCAAACATTTGTTTTTCACAGACCAGGAAATGCTGTTACTCTTGGCATGGTTATTTTTTTTCCCTTTTGAATAACTACTCTTGAGCCAGTATGACTGTAGCCTCTTTTTCCATTATTAAGGCTTCTGAACTTTACTTTGGCTCATGATCGGACCATATTGCCCATATTTCCTCCTCTGTAGAAGCTCATCTGGTCTTACAGTTCAAACAGGGGGCATACAGAGCCCTTGGGGTTACCAGTCTTTCAGAGTGACTTTTATTTTGACTTAATAAGCAACACACAGAAGAAAATTATAGTAATTTAAAAAAAATTAAAAAATAAAAAAAAAAATAGAAACTCCTCTATCTCCTTCAAGTTTGGAAAAAATGAGCCCTCTGAGCACCTGTATCTAGGGAAAAAACAACTAGTCCCTACCAAACTCAGGGGAAAGTCCCCACACCCACATGCCATCACCACCTCAGTTCAATTAAGTCCAGGAGCTTTTTCCTTCCTTTTCCCTGTGGGTTATGTGCCTCAGCTCAGGAGTTATGCTCCTCCACTGTTTTCCTCTGCTGGAGTTTTCTTGCAGAGCAAGACCAGCTGGCTTTTATTTTTGAGTCTTAAAAAAGGCACTCATGAACTCTAAGGGAAGCCCTCTCGTCAGGTCTGTGAGTAAGGGAAAAACCTAGGGAAATATGAATAGGTAGTGTTTTATTCTCATGATGGTGATCATCTAGCTTGGCTCCCTCATTCCTGCAGAGAGTCTCATATCCTAGGGCTGAGCAAGAGGATGCCACTGACCATTTTTCACGCCAACAGTCTGCAGGTGGTGAAGAGGACACTACAAGAGTTCTTCCCATGTCAAGGCCTTGCTGTGAAAAACATGTACCTAATTTTCAGCCAGATTTTTGGTTTTAATTTTGAGCCTCTGGTCCTCCTTATGTTCCTCTGCTGGAGTAGAGAATCTATCTCTATTTCACATCTTCTTCTCATGGGAAGAAAACATCAAAGATGGGTTGTAAGAGCATAAAAATGGTCGTACCAATGGTCTCTCTATGGTGCTCTGCTATGGCCAATACAAGATCCCTAAGGAAAGACATTGAGAATCAAGGCATCATGTAGAAGCTTCCTGCAAGCAAGAGTCAAGGACATCCTGAGCTGACAGTCATACCAGTTCATCACATTCAAAAGCCAGTGAGGAACTGATCCTCCACAAATTACCTAATCTCTATTTGAACTCATTTATACTCCTGCTCTCCATAACATCCTAACATCCTCTAACAATAATTACACTGTCTTTGTGACATGCAAAATGAATTTCCTCTTGTTTGCAGTAAAATTGCTGCCTGACCTCACCACTGTTTCCTTCAAATTAGGTAAAAGAGATCAAGCATCCCAAGTTTATTCATTTCAAAGCAAGATCCTCAGGCTCCCAAGTCAGAGATGGTTTGGTTTTATTTTTGTACCACTCTGCTAAATCCTTTTCCCACATCCATTTTCAAAATATGGACACGTTCCAGTAACTTGTGCTGTAAACAGAGGTAACGCAATCTGTTCACTCCGTGAGATCTCATTTAATACAGCATGTATCATCTATCTCCCTCCCTGGAGCCTTGTCTTCCCAGGATACTGTGTTATGTTGCGGAAGTGTGATTCCACATACTTTGTTCCTCCATGTAGAACCTTATGTTTTAATTCTAAGCGTGATTTTACCAGGGGTTTTAGGAGGTAGTTACTTCCCATTAATTTGGCCAAATATATGCACCGTGCCAGGAGAGGCAGTCACACCTGCAGAGCTGTGTAGCCCTCCTAACCATATTTTGTCATTGTAAGACATCCATGAACATCAGAAAGCATTTAGATGTTGAGCAGATCATGTGACAGCCTAGCACTGGAAGCTCACATAGTCTGAATTTCTAGGACACTTTCATCTCATCAGCAAAGCGTCTGAAGTATTTACACAGAACACAAAAGCATTAGCTGCTTTATCTTCTACTCTCACACATGCTGTGCAGCTAAAGAGAGTCCTTTGGTCTTTTGTGGCTTTCTGAGAAAAACCTGGCAGAGAAGCCTGTAAGAGTGGAGAGAGCTCTGCGCAGCATGGAATGTTCACCTCCTGTAGAATGGGACCTGACACCTGCAAACAGAAACTTCTTAGCACCAGGGAAAATTATCAATGGCACCAAACAAACAAACAAAAAAAAATCAAGCTTAAACCCATGTTTTCTGCATGTGGCCTCAATTGCACCACAGTGACCAGCTCCTGGCAGAACCTCCTAATATTTAGTTGGCTCTCCGTCTTGAGAAACCAGACCTCTCCCAGCCCTCCTTGTGACACAGGAGGTCCCACCCCTTCTTGGGAATTTTGAAGTCCATTTATAGTTCCATCTCTTTGGTCCCAGCTCCTTTGAGGGTAAGGAAGATTTAGATCTTACACCAAGAAAGCATGCTGTTATGTGCCAGCATAGTGAGAATGGGGGTAGCTCCAGAGCCAGAGGGGTCTCTTTGCAGTGCTAAAGGCAAGAACACAGCAAGCAGTGATTATCCATAATTGGAAGTGTTCAAGATTTTCCTGAGCCTGGCCCTGAGCAACCCAGTCTAGTTTGAGAGTCACTCTGCTGGGAGCAGAGGGGTGAAATAGAGACCCCAGAAGTCCTTTCCCACCTGAATCTTCCTGTGATACTGCGACTAACAAACAAGTGGGTTTATTTGATTTTGTGGTGTTTTTCTTAGTGAGGCAGTAGAAGATACAAAAGGATGTAGGCTGCTACCTGCCATGAGGTGCCAAGTGGAGAGGAAATTGAAAAAACAGCTCAGTTGCCACTACATTCTGAATTGCAGTCTGGCACACAATTGTGTTAATCCAGCACAAATGCATAGTGTTGCAGAGAGGGGCAATCCCATCTTCCCTTTCATCTCTCCTGCTGCCTCTCTTTTGTCAACACTGATGAGCAGCAGAGAATTGATCCAGCTGAAAACTAAACTATAAAGGAATAAATCCATTTTGATTTACAATGAGCCCTTTCAGTTTAAAAATGCACCATCTCCCTCCCTAGCAATTTTTTGTTCAAAGTAAAGTGGTTGGGGATCACCAAATCAGAGACTTTATTCTCTTCAGGACTATTCTGGAGCACTGCTGTGCCCCTCCTTGCTGTGCCATCATCCACAGCAACTTTCCCAGCGATTGTACTCTTCTGCAAATGATTTTTCATAGCATCACTGCTCCTTTAGTTACCCTCTACTTTTTCATATCTAGCTTTCCCACCAAGAAAGAAACAACATATTCTCTATTTAGCCTGTAGCTTCCAGAGCTCCAATGTACCATGAGATATGGGCTCCTGTTCTCCTGCCATGATGCACCATGAAAACACAGCATGTGGATCAGACCCACTTTTTCACAGTTCCTGGGGACCCAGGCAAATACACCTAGAGCCAGACCCCTCTGTGCTCTGAGCAATGCTCATCCTCCAGCACCTGAAACATGACAAAGTGCCTCTTCTCTGTTGGAGAAACACAGGTTGCTGCCCAGAGTAGAACACAGAGAAGATTTGAGCCCCATGAGCAGAAGGCACATCCTTCTGTGGCAGTTTTTCTCTGAAGGGATACTGTACTGTCAGTTGAGAGCAACAGCAGCAATAAGGATATGAGCCTGGAATATGTGGATTGGCCTTTCTCTCTTTTATGGCACTTTCAGAGATTTTATTTGCTTGATATTTCTGCCAATGCTCACCTGCTTTCTGGGCTATCTTTGGTGTCCAGCACTTGTATGTCATCCAGCTCTGCTGTGGGCACTGGAGCTTCCAGTCCACTGGGTCCCAAGGACCCTGCAGATGGTCAGACTCTTTCTCTCCAGGTACCCCGGGAGAAACACATTTTGGGAGTCCCACTCTTAGACCAAGGTTCAGCTCCCATCAAAGTACTCCTCAGCTCATACCTGAGTTAAGGCAATCTTTCGGGACCACTCAACTGCTGCCCCAGCCTCTCAGCAACACATTAGGTCAGTGCTTGACTCCTTCACCTCAGTGTCAGTGTCACTGTAACTGAGAGCAAAGCTGGCACATGTCTCCCATCCCTCTTTGCTCTTGAGAAAACTCAGTGCAGCCCTGGGTTGTTTGGGAGGCTATTGCGTATTTTTTGATTGGAATAGAAGCATGGACACTGCAATGAAAAGGGAGTTGAAATATAACCTAGTTTGCTGCATGGATTTTTGTATTTAATCCACCCCACCCTCTGTGTTGCAAAACACGGAGGTTGTGGCATCAAAAATATCACTTAACTAGGTATTGGCCAAGGTACTGATAGCCATAACCATCTCCACAGGTAGCTGTGATGACCAATAAGGATTCCGTAAGTGTCCCATCTCTCCTTGAGGACGAATCTGGAGGTCTTTTGAAAGAGAATAGTTACACAGTCCTCCCCGGCAAATGCTGGCCAGTTATAAGATGCCAGATGCCAAATATGCCCAAGAATGCTGCAGATTTTCTTCAGTGATTAAATCATTGGAGTTTTTGTTATGTTTTTTGGGGGGGGAGGTTAGCAGAAATGCAGCCCACAACTTTAGTCAGATCCCTCCAATGTTGTTTTTGACTTTCTAATTCAGGTTTCTCTGGGATACGCAACTGAGTATTGTCACACAAAAGGTACTCACCTTCTAGCACTGTAAAGAAAGAGACTGCAGATTTGTCCAAAGACCCCATAAAGCTACGTTTTCTTTAAAGGTGCTCTCATGGGATTCTGGGAAGCAGGGCACTGCTAGACTCTCCTCAGTGCCATACCAGAGATCTGTGGTGATTCAGGCACTGCCCCCCTAAAAAGGACCCTTTCAAAAAAGCCTCCCAATCAGGTAGCCAATCACTCTGCCTCCTCCTAGCACTTCTGCAGTGGCCCATTTTGGTTTTGCCCAGACCTACTGGGAGATGGAAACTTTCTCTTTTCCAGTGCTCTTCTCCTCACTGCTTTTTGGGACCTGTCATCTCAGATGAATGGGTCCCTTCTCCAAGACCACCCTCTGATGTGTTGATGTGTGGTGTACCCAGCCCCTGGGGAGATAACATGCCACTTCCAGGCATCATGAAGCATGTTTGGTACCCACCCTGGACTTAATTTCATATATAGAATGCACCTCTGTTTGGCACCTTGGTAAAAACTATCATGGCCCTTTGTGTGGGAAAAGTGGCTTGCATTCCTCTACCTCAGGGATGCCTATTTTGATGCATTACCACATTGTGCATCTCACAGAAAGCCTACCAAGCTGTGGACACCAGCTCTTTCTGCCTCAGGGTTCTGCTGCTTGACCTCTCTGCAGCAACAAGGTGTTGACTTGGGAACCACTGCATCTGTCCCAAATGCCCAGAGAAGGGCAGCTCCACTACTTCCTCTCTGCAGCTGAGCTTAGATTTCTTTTAGTTCCCTAAGCTTCCCAGTCAGTGCCAGAAGTCTCGCAGTTAATCCCAGTCTGATCCCTGAAAACCTTGTTGCCTGTGCAGGTGCCTGTTGGGTACCAACCTGCCCAGCAGCTCTTGCTCACACCACATCCTTGCCAGACCTTCCCTTCTGTTTCCCCAGGTGTGGCTGCTTTTTGTTTACAGTTCCTTGCCATGAAGTTATTAGTTATCTCCCATTAGTAAGGAACTTGGTTTTGCCTGCTATGTTTGCTTTAGCACTGGACAAACAGCAATCAGGATGTTTTACATGAGGTCCTTCTGGCAAGCACTCTATCTCGGGAACGCCCAGACAAGCTGATAACCCCGTCTTCAAGTCATGGCATGGTTTCCTGGATCAGCTGAAGTCTGAAAATAAATTCTAGAGCACCTGAGAAAGTCAGCATAAAGTGGAAGATTGTGACTACTTTCAGATTTGATGGTGCAAGGACCAAAACATGAAAGTGGAATCACTCAGAGAAAAACATGGTATTACAGAAATCTGGAAACGCAGTGGAAAATTCCTTCAGCAAGACTAACTGAATGATAATGCAGAACCGTGTTTTCTATTCCTATTTTTCTTGGTGAGTGTAGTTTACATCCGTAAGACATGCCAAGAGAGACAAGAAGAACAATGTATTAAGGCTGTGCACAAGACGACTGCTGCAGTGAAGTCTGAAACCTGGCTGAAGCTACTAATGCCTAACCATGGACAAAGGAGCATTTAGTGAGCTGGGCTTCTATGTCCCTGCCCTTGGCTACTCCTGTTGCAGCCTGCCCCTCATTCCCCATGGCTCTGCCAGGGTCTCACACATCCCTGTCAGCCTCTCTGCCCAGGGTACCCACGTGGGCAGTTCTAAGATGTCCCTGTGCTGATCTCTCTCTGGTCACTGTTATCTCTGCCTCGGGGTCCCATTCTGGGAGATGACGAAAATGCCATTCGAGGGAGTCAGCATTTAAAATGGGTCGTTAGAGAGAAACGTCACAGCGTCTTTGCTAAAGATAGCCTGGTGCTGAGTAAAACAGTGCCTCTAAAATCTTCCTTTTACAACATACTCACTCAGCATAATAACCCCTCGGCCCCAAACACCCCTCCCCAGTGCCAGTGCCAGGCAGCTCCTGTCATTTTCCTAAGCTCTCCATCAGTCTCTTGTGACCGCCTCTTGGGAAGCTGTAGTAGGATGGGACTACGTCCTCTGCTTTGCTGAGTCTTACAAGAGATAAGCATTTCCTAGAGCATGGATTCCTTTAAAAGTGGTTTTGAGGGCTAGAGTGGAATAGTGCCAGGGTGCCAAGGCTACAAGAGCAGAGAGAGTTGAGATGGAGGGAGAGAGCAATGAGCTCAGTGTGCCCCTCAAGTGAAGCCAGGAGAGGGGAAGAAGATGATGCTGGACTGCAGCAATGTATGTGTCTCCCCACCACGGTTCCAACTCCCTTCTCTCTCTCTCACCTTCACCCACACACTCACACCATTCTTGCACTGCTGATTTAAGGGAAAGAAGAGGTTGATGCTTTCTGCTTGAACTGGTCACCACAAACTGTTTTTCTTGAACAGTAGGAAAAAAACACCTCCTGAAAACTGTCACAAGTTCTCCCCTATCTTTGCTCCTCTCTTTCTCTCTCATGTGATCCCATGGACTGTTTTACACAAGAGGGCATGTGGGACCACTACAAAGCAGTCCCTTGGGGACATGGAGGCACATGAGGTTGCACCTGCACACCAATCCCACTCCTCAGGAGGCTGGAGAGCCATGTGTGATGAAAGAGATGAGAGCTGTCACTGCAACAGGGGTCTGCTGAAGCGAGGCATAGCACTGGCCCTCTTTTATCCTCCACCTTCACCACCCAGCTGAGGAAAACCAGAAAGCAAACAAATATCCTTCCACAGTTGAAAAGTGGCCACTGTGAGTCACCTCCCTTCCCCCAGCCTGAGGAAAAGCCCTAACACTTGGGGGATGAGCCACCGAGGGGCTTGGGTGTCTGACACGTCACGAAGGGCTGATTAAGTCCGAAAGAGTCAGAGCAGTGGGCTGCTGGAAAGTGTGAACCACAACAGTGGGGCTTCTCTGAGACAAAATGGGTCCCAGGATGAGGCACATGGATGGAAATGTATTGCCCTATGTAAAGGTCAGCAGCTTAATGGCAGCTAGGTTGAGCCCCCTCTGTGCATGAGCTTGAGTGGGTTTTCCCAGAACTGCTGGAGGAGGAGGGTCCCTTCCTCACACTCCTCGTCATGCCACAGTATTCAGCCCCTCTTTTCAGTTCTGATTCCTTCTTCTGGATGCTCCTCTCTATCTCCTTGGACCACCCGGGCTTTGTCCCATATTGGCCCTGGACTCTAGATTGATGAGTCGCATGTGCCCTACTTGGAGCTCACCACAGACCATTTTCTCATGCTGCCTGTGAACTGACCAATGAGAAAAAGCCAAGAAATTAGCTCATTTGGAGTATTAAAGAAGGAAAGAAAAAGAAAATGAAGGAAAAAAAAAAACCAAGAAGAAAGAACAGCAGAAATAAAGACCAACATGTTCTCGAAAGCCCTGAAACAATTAGAGGGAAGCTGTAAGAGACGGAAAGATCAAACCAAAAAAGGTAAGAGATGAAAGAAAAACATGAAGGGTACTTGCTGGGAAGTGTCTTCTACACTTTTTCCACTGGCTATGTAGAAGCGAAATTTGTAAGAAAAACAACAGCGACTCAAAGAATTTCCACTAAAAGATGCTTACAGCTGTGTCTCTGGTCCCTCCCTCCTCTGCTCTCACGTGCCTCAGGCTTATACTGGTTTCTTGGTGGTGACGCATCTTCTTAGTGATATGAGGAAATTTGCTGCCCACCTGCAATATAAGGGCATTTAGGGAAATGCTTTGATCAGAGAGAGAGAGAGACGGCATGAGAGCAAGCACATCCCACTGACCCCTCTTTGCTTACCCACCAACCTCTAGCACCTTCTTTGCCCATGCCTCATTTTTACTGATCTCTTCAAGCTTTGGACCTTGTCAAGCACGAACCCAAGCAGGAGGCAGCCCCTCGCCTTTCCTGGATGCCACCATGAGGCTGATGTCCCTGGTGCTGTTCCTCACCTTTGTCCTGCTGACTTTCAGTGGTAAGAGGGGCTGAACCTATTGGGGAGGGCAGTGTAGCTCAGTAAGCTGAGCCTGGGTGTTACTTGGTCCCTGACAAGACTGGAAGGGAGAGTTTGTGCCCTTCCAATCCACCAAAGATGGCCAGATATTGCCCTGCTCTCTAAATTGCCCTGGTAAACGCAGCATCCCCACTCTTTGCTCAACCTTTATCTTGTTACAGCTGGTCACATCCTAGCAGGATTAGCGGAGGGTGAAAGCAGGGAGCAGAAAATGTGGGTCAGAGAGGGGAGTTCAGCTGTGCTGCCCTGCCACTTGAGCCCCAGAAAAATGAGAAAGAGCTTGAAGCAGCTGCCCGACAAGACATCTGTGCAGTGGAAGAGGCATGGGGGAAGGTATGTCAGGGTCAAAAGAAATTCCAGTCCTTCTGGGGGGACTGGAGAGGGTGGGAGACACTTTGAGCCCCTTTTCTCTTTCCCCATCTTCCCTCCTTCCTGCCCCCTCCCTTGATCTAACATTTGCCTCTGGGATGAGCCGCTCACTTATCCCACTTCCAGTGTCCACCAGGAGTCACATGTGGTACTGGAGGTGGGGTACTCGGGCCTCCAGAAGACGGCACTGCTCATGAAGCCCCGGGTGTCACTCCAGGACTCTGCCTTACACAATGGCAATTTCTCCCTGCGGATTGACCCCGTCAGGAGCGAGGACGCTGGGCTGTATGAGGCACGGGTGGAATACAACTCAGAGGTCCATAGCTGCCATGTGGAGCTGGGGGTAATTACAGGTAGGAGAAGATAGAAAACCTGGAGAATGTTGATTTTAGGACCGGGGAGGTTGTAAAGATGGGATGGGGTGGGGATGCTGTGTTTGGTTGGGCAGGTTAGAGTACAGGCAGCATCCTCCTCAAAGCACACAGCTTCCTGCTGTCTGCTCTCAGTTCTGGAGGGGTGCCTGCCCATGGGACAAGGCTAGGACAGGGGGACACAAAGGGTTGCGTTGGTAGTTCCCCTGTGATCTTAGCTCACCCCCCACCCCAACACTTTGGTTTTTTTGCAGTAACCCTCAGTCCACCCAATCCTGTGGAAGAAAATGAGCTGCTCTTGATGAGCTGCAACTCCAGCTACCGGGCCAGCCTTGTGGAGACATGTTGGTTCCATAACGGGCACCTGGGCCCCACCTCCAGGACCTTCTGCTCTTCGCCTGGGGCTCTCTCCATCCTGCGGCCAGCCATGAGTGATGCGGGTTCCTGGCGCTGCCAGCTTCGATACTCTGATAACGAGATAATTTCTGCCACGTACAACCTGCAAATTCTAGGTGACCTCAACCTCTGTGTTGATATTCCAGCATCCCCAAGTTAATCCCTTTGATGCGACTGACTAACCCCAGTAGCTCCAGCTTCCCAGCTCCCACCCTGTCCTCACTTTCCAGGTCAGTCATCTCCCATCTTTCCAGCCACCACCTCACACTGTGCTCTTTCTCTGGCTTAGGTTTTGATGGCCCAACCAACCCTGTGGTCTATGCTGCAGCTGGCTCTGCAGCCCATCTACCATGCAGCCTGAGCTACCTTCCCAGTTCCTTTCAGATAAACATGGTGACAGCCCACTGGAGCCACCTTGCAGGAGGACACTTGCAAGACTGGGACATCTTCCCGAATCTGAGTAACAGAAGCTTCCCCCTGCATCTCCCTGCGGTGGGGCTGGGTGATGCAGGGCAGTACCGCTGTGCTGTCTCTGTGGGCCACAAAACAATCAGCAGGGAGGTGACTTTGGCAGTGGTTACAGGTGAGAGGAGAGACAAGGAGGTGCATTACCCCTCTGGGGTCCCCCAGTGCTTACAGATAAACCTCCCCACATGTCAGTGCAGTGAGCGTGGGTAGCTCCTTGATCATGAGTTCCCACCTCGGGGTGACAAACAGGATCTCTGTTGAGGGCATTGCACTGCACTGGAGTCTGCTGAAATCAGTTTTCCTTGGTGACCTGATTATTCCTCTTAAAACTAGGGAAGACAAAGAAAATAAATTAGAGGAAATAATAAAGAAGGGATGTAATAGAAGAAGGATGGATGAAGAAGAGATGTGGACCTGTCTGTAGTCTTTCCTGAGGGTATTTTTTTTCCTTTGCTGCAGTGACTCCAAGTATCCAAGGACCAGTTTCTGAGGGGAGTCGTTTGCTGCTCATCTGCAGCCTCACACACTCCCGGGGACATGAACGTTTCCAGTGGAAGCACCTTGGCTCAGTCCCCACTAAGAGCAAGCTGGCTGTGGCCACCCCTCAAAACCTGGAAAGCAGCAGTGCCCAGATGGGACCTATCTTGAAAATACCCAAAGTGTCACAAAAGGATACGGGCACATGGGAATGCAGTGTGTATGGCCCAGAAGGCCAACTGGGAGAAGTGGAGTACAAGCTGCAGATCACAAGTACTGTCCCCCATGTATTTGTAACCAATCTCTTCTTGCCCTATTCAGTTCCCTGGTGCCTTTCCTGTCTCACTTTCACCCTGTATTTCTTCCCTTGGACCATTTGGATCCCATCTTCTTGTCATCCTGTCTTAGCTCTCACCAGTCCCTTATATTGCTCCTTCCAGTTCCCAGCACTCTTTCCCATTTTGCCCATTCCCAGCCTTGCCCCAGTGCAAAATTGACATTCCCTTCCTTCCTAACTGTGGTTCCTCCTCACAGGTGCCCAGGTCTCCAGCCCTCCTGCTATCTTCAGTGGGCAGGTTACTTTTGGGCTCACACTCACCCTCTTCCTTCTGCTTGCTGTCTGTGTTGTGGCTCTGGCCCTACAGAAAAGGGTAAGTGTCCATCAACCAACTTCAGTTATTTTTCCTGTACACCAACCCTTATTTGACCTTATTTGGCAGCTCTGGCTAACCATGGTGTTTGTCTGGAGGCAGGTCAGACACCTCAGAGGAGGGATGAAACCTCCTAAGGTTTCAACCACAGCCGAGCCTTAAAAAGCTTCATGTTTATTCTCCCACAGATTAAGCCATGCTGTGCTAGAGAAGGGTTAATTTCCAGGCTTTTGTACATGTTGTCTCTCTTATTCCTTATCTGGACACTTTAATGTAACAATCTCCTGTTCTATATGAATGCCTACTGGTGCCCAGAAACAGATCTCAATGCAGGGCTGTTGCTTCTGGCTCAGCCTTCACATCTCAGCCTCTGCGTCTGGCAACTTACTGACCTCTGTTTGCTCAGCTTGTTCAAGTATCTCGTCCTCTGAAAACTCTACCTTACCTTTATGATCCCAAAGACCAGGCCAGGGCTAATGGTTCCCAAGCATGTCCCCAGAAAAAAAGCTATGCAAACAAGTGAGACTGTTGCTCTGCAGTTTTCATACTGTTGCTCTGCAAGTTAATTACATGGCAAATTCATCCTTCAAGGTATCCTTTTGTTGACAAAAGACACCTTTCGAGTGTAGGTGTGATGTGGTTGCCTTCTGCTTAACTTCTTGGAAAGGGTCCACAGTGAAAAACCCCTTCTAGTGCAGAGGGGGCTGGGGGATTGGAGCGGTCTAAGTTCAGAAGACCTTGCCCCGGTGAAAGAGCTGGGAGCCTTGGAATTGCCTTGAGCTGAAGACAAGGGATGTCTTAGCATTGATAAAAATAGCAAGTCCCAGTGGCTGGAGACTGAAGACAAGCAGCATAGGAACAAAATCAAGGTTGGAATTTTTAAAAACCACTGTGGGTATCACTAGAGCAGCTCGTGACAGGTTCTTCATCATCCATCCTTAATCATCACTGATGGTAAAGGATAATCTGAGGCAGAAATCTACGGTTTCTGTGTGACACTCTGGACTGTGCAAGTCCGGGACAAGATGATCAGAACCACCCTTTCTGGTCAAAAACCTTGGGAAAAATCCCTTGGCAGTGTAACTCTAAGGCCTCAGCTAGCAGGAAATAGGACACCTGGGTGTCCAGCTGTTAGTTAAAGTCTCATGCAGCCAGGATATTTACCACCCTAAAACATTTGCATATGCCCTCATGGCTGAGTAAGCAAGGCTCCTGTGTTGCAGCGCAGGTGGTCCTCAACCAGTTCTGGGTGGCCCTGCTTTATCAGGGCGTTTGGACTGAATCATGTCCAGAGCTCCCTTTCAACACCAACATCCAGTGATTTTGTGATTCATGCCCTTCTCTGCACAGACTCCCCGCTGGGCTCATCCTCTGTCAGAGTGCAGATGAGGTGCCTCAAGCAAAGATATCAGCTCTTCTCTGGTTCTCTCCCTCTCTCTGCTGGCATCCTCTGAGATTACATTTGCTCTCCTTGCATTAGCTGGACACCGGATGCTCACTGCAGTGTATCATGTGCACTCGATGGGCTGTTGCCCACACATTAGGAATTCCTATTCCGATCCCCTGAGCCTATCAACGTGCCATTGGTACTGTTGCATTTCATTCATCCTGTCACTCAGTTTAGTGCTCTGTTCTCCTAAAAAATATCTGGGTCTTGTGTGATATTTTCATCTTCTTTCTTCCAAATGAGTCTCCTCAGCTTTATCAGCTACCTAACTCATTAGCATTTTCACACTCTCTATGCCAATAATGACTGATCTTTGAAGACCTGTGCTTATCATTTCCCTACAGCCTGACAGAAACATGCCAGTAAAATCGCAGTCCCTTCTTAGCTGGGATTACACCTACCATGCTATTCTCCAGCTAATCTCATCCTTCTTCCTGAACTGATTGTCTGCGTGTTGCCCTATACTTCTATGCTGTCAGAAGGCCTGAGATCTACATCTTTTCCATTGTCTAGAAAGTCACTTGTAAAAGTAGTTCTGTCTTTAATTTGTTCTTATCTCATTTTGCACAACCCTTCACGCCTTTACTACTTCTCTCTGAAAAGGTGGTGTAAAATCTGACATACCATCAAACCTGACATTGGCCTGACCATTGCCCAGATCACTCTTTGCTCTCCCTTAAGCACGTCCTGTCTTTGTAATTCCTTATGCCCATAATATCACTGAGGATCATGTTGGGACAGCACTCCCCAGAAGAAACTGCAGGTCTCAGAGAGTAGCTTCTTCCCTGGCTCTAGGAGGAAATGGGAGCCTTATGGTTGCAAGCAGTAGGATCATATCTTCCATGGCAAGGAGAAGCCCAGTCAACCATGCCATTCAATCTCCCTCCCATACCTGATGTTGCCTCTTTTTTCCCTTTCAGGCACAGACTCCTGCCTTCTCAGCACTGGAAGGGATGATTGCAGTCCCTGGGCCGTGGAAGTTGATGAAGGAAAACCAGAAAGGGAAGATCCAACAAACTGAGTGCTGACAGGAGCAGGGACACCAGGGCTAGTCTGCATGGGAGGATGAAAATCTGTGTGCCGTGCTGCAGAGAGATGGGTGCCATGCAGACTTGTCAGGGGGGTCTAGGGATGGCATGAACAATGCAGAAGTCATTGGGAGGTCTGTATTTGCAGAGGGGCTGGGAGCTGCCTACCAGGGCAAGGCAAGCCTCACTGCTGCAGTAAGGTGGCCAGCAGCACAGATGATTTGGAGCTATTGGGAGTATTTGAGCCAGTAGCTATTGCCTGCTTTAATGCCAAATCTCTGCCTACTCTTTGCCCCTCCTCCGTGGCTCCTCTCACAATCTTTCTCTGGTGGAACACCAGGATGCAGGAGATGGCTGGAATCTGTCTTTCCTGCAGCCTGATGGTGTTTTCTGCCCCCCTTGCTCGCTTTCTTCTCCCTCTGCCCGCACTGCCCTGATCACTGCCCTGTTGCATATTTTGAGCATTTTAACTTATTAGAAACTCATTTTAGAACTGAAAATAAATCTATGTGACAAAAAAGCCTGCTGGTCCCTGTATGTGCTTATGGGGGATTGTGCCTATTTGACAGTGCTGAGTGTACCTCTGCCTGTGTGAAGCCATTTCTAAGGCCTTTGCTGCCTTCTCTTTCTCTTTCAGTTCTGTTTTACTGAAGTTGCCTGTTCATTTCTGACATTTTCACAGCAGGGAAGGGGAAATTAAATGCCACTAGAGAAGAATCACAGGTTCAGTCTCTCTTTCCCTTTTGCTGTGTTTCAGAGTCTTCTTTTCTTTCTTTTTCTCCCATCTGGCTGTCCCTGTTCATTCATTCATTTATTCCTTTCGTTCTCACATTTTCCTGAAAGATCTACAACTGATGTTAGGGCTCTCTGTCACTCTCCTCCTGCTAAGGATGTATTTAGTAATGTAAGTCTGAGTCTACCAGGTCCCATCTCTCGAGACCCTTAATGTGTTTAGCTTTCATTTAGTCAGAGAACGCTCTTCACCTCCTCTCTGAAAAGCCATGGAGGACTGTAGTACTGCTCTTGAACAGCCATTACATGCCACCCCAGAAGAAAGCTCACTAATAAAGAGAGCCACACATTGGTGTCTCCCATATGGGTCCCCAGGCTATGGCTGCTCAAGGGGGCAGCGGAACAAAAATTAAGCTCTCAATATTCAAGATGAAAGGTTCTCTTGACTTGCATAAGAGGGATCAGATTTTCATTATTTCACCAGGCATATGGTGTGTAGCTTTCACCTTCCCTTTCCAAGAGAGAAGCTGCATTCACAGCTAGCAAACGCACTTTGGGATCCTCAGAGTGCAGGTAATGGAGCAGCATCCAAAAAGTCACAACCGGCCCACTCTGAAGAGCATGTCTGGATTCCACAGCTCTTTAGCTAAACAGTTAGCCATGTATTTTACTGAAAATGATGCTCATTTCTCCACTGAGTCCTAGAGAAATGCAGCAGAGCCACGAGGTAGAACTGTCTGCTTCAACCATCCCATGTAATTTCAGTCAGAACCGACAAAACACATGACAATCCAGCTTGGCACCAGAATTTTCCTAGGCAATTGATAATACTGCAATTTTTTTTAAGGTTGGAGTGATCTGTAGCTCAATCCCCTCTCTCTGCCAGATGTTTTGGAGATAGAGAAAAGGTGGGTGAGTCCCAGTGGGGCTAAAAGGCTGTCTAATATTCATCAGGACCACATCATATTCTCTCAGTGCCTCACAGCAGTTTGCTCTCTCTTCTCATACACAATGGGATGCTCTCTCCTCCTGTGTGTAATACTTTTAACATTGCCTTTTACCAGCCTGCACGTTCTCATTGCTCAGACGTGTGCCTGGTCTCTCTTTAAACCCCTCTGTTTCCTTGTACTCTCTGGCTTCCTCTGGCAATCAGTCCTCGGGTCTGCTTATTCGCTGTGTGAAAATGGTTCCTCTATTGGTTTTGAATTCAAAGCTTTCTGGTTTCATCGTCTGGTTTCTTTTCTTCTGTCACAGTGACTAGAAGAAGAGGGACTCCCAGATCTGTCATATCTTAGATGGTCATTATTTTACCACCTTTTATCACATCTTTTTTTTTGTTATTTCCCCATCCCCTCCTGATTTATTGCCTTTCAGGTACAAATCGCAGTTTTTGGGACTTTCTCGCTGACAGCTTGCACAGGCCCATCTCTGAGCATGGCCAACTCTCCTCACGCTCTTTGCTCTGGAGGAGGAGACAGGGGTCCGGCAGGGGAGTGGTGCTGGTTCACATGGACACACGGTGCCTTTCTCTGCATTACTTCAATCTGCCCCTTCATAGCTCCTGGTGTTTTGTCTGCTTCTCTGAGAGAAGTTCCCCACTGAACAACACTGAGCTTGTACCCAGCTGTGCCTGTTGTGATGGCCAGGGCTCTTGCCTGACCTGGTGCAGTGTGCAGTTACAGTGAGCAAAAGCCTCCTCAGCTGGACAGGGAAGAGAAAACATAATAAAAGCCTTGAGAGTCAAGATAAGGGCAGGGAGAGATCATTCACTGATTACTGTCATGGGTAAAACAGACTTCACTTGGGGAAATTAACTGAATTTATTACCAACCAAATCAAAGAAGGATATTGAGAAAGTAAACCCAAACCTTAAATGAAGTCCCTCCCACCACTCTGTTCCTCCAAGGCTTACCTTCAGTCCCAGTTTTCTCCACCTCCTCCCACAGCAGCGCAGGGGGACAAGGAATGGGGATTGTTGTCAGTTCATCGCAGATTGTCTCTGCCACTCCTTCCTCCTCACGGAGAGGACTCCCCACACTCTTCCTCTGCTCCAGAATGAGTTCCCTCCCATAGGAGACAGTTCTCCACAAACTTCTTCAATGTAAGTCCATCCCATAGGCTGGAGTTCTTCATGAACTGTTCCAGTGTGGGTCCCTTCCATGGGGCGCAGTCCTTCAGGAAGAGACAGTTTCAGTGTGGGTCCCCTGCAGGGTCACACTTTGCCACCAGCAAACCTGCTTTAGCATGGGCTCCTTTCTCCATGTGTCCACAGCTAGTGTCAGGAGCCTGCTCCAGTGTGGGCTTCCCACAGGGCCAAAGCTTTCTTTCAGGCATTCACCTGCTCTGTTGTGGGGTACTCCACAGGCTGCAGGTGGATCTCTGCTCCACCACGGACCTCCACAGGCTGCAGGAGGAACAGCCTGCCTCACCAGGGTCTTCCCCACAGGCTGCAGGGGAATCTCTGCTCTGACACCTGGAGCACCTCCTCCCTTTCCTTCTGCACTGACCTGGGTGTCTGCAGGGCTGATTCTCTCACATATTCTCACTCCTCTGTCTGGTTGCCGTTGCTCATTTTTTTTCCACCCCTCTTAACCATGTTATCCCAGAGGTGCTACCACTGTTGTTGATGGGCTTGTCCTTGGCCAGCAGCGGGTCCATCTTGGAGCTGGCTGGCACTGGCTCTGTCAGACACAGGGGATACTTCCAGCAGCTTCTCACAGAAGCCAACCCTGTTGCTACCCTGTGACCTAAACCTTGCCATGCAAATCCAATACACAGAGGTTGAAAACTTTGAAAAAACGCAGGAAATCCAGTGGATTCCCTTTTGGCAGAGAGGAGAGCTTAAGGAATGCAAAGAAAGTGTTATGCATGCAAATTCCTTTGCATATGACTCCTCCAAAAGGAAAGGGAAGACAATCTTTAATCCCAAATTAATCTTTTTTTGGTAAGAAAGATCAGCACCATCAGAAAAAATCATAACTAGGTCCAGATGTTCTGCATCCAGGACTTCTCAGGGATTTACAGTGAGAGGCTAAGTAAGTGCTAGTGAATAGCGTAATCTGACAAAGGAGCAACTGTAGACACATCTATTGTGGTCTTGGTACATTCTGTACAGCCTTTTAAAACCAATAAAAAGTTAGAACCAGATCTCGAATTATGTAGGATATTAAGGCACATTGAGTTTTATACTTGCTTGGCAAATTTGTGGGAACAATTTCAGCACCAGTCCTGCAAAAAAACCCCAGTGACTTACTACTCTGCTTGTATTTCTTCAGCACTTTTACGAACAAACCCAAAATATCTAGGGTTCTCAATTTTGCAGAGTGGTTGGAACGAGATGATCTTTAAGGTTCCTCCCAACACAAACCATTCTGTGGCTGTATGAAATCGCACTCCCGCAGCGCTCTTAAGGGGCACCTATGGTCGGGAGTGAGGGCGCGGCAGGGGCCCGAGGCTGCAGCTGCTGCTCCTTCACTCCCTCCTGGCACAGGGCTACTCTCCTTGTCCCGAGCCAATGCCGCCATCTACTGTCCTCCTGTGCCGGGATTCTCCCGCCCACACGCGCCGCGCATCGAGTACATCCATCCCTGGCGACTATTGGGCTGCGCACTCCGTGACTCAGCTCCCCAAGGACCGCCTGGCACGCCCAAGTCCTTCCCTTCCTTTGCTTTCAGCTGAGGAAGCTAAAGTAAAATTTCTTACAGTTACTGTAACCTGATGGCGCGTGCCATTGAGTTGCAAGCCGCTTTAGTGCTCCCAGCCCCAAGCTGCTTCCAGTGCGATATTCCAGAACCTCTGTGCTGATGAAACACCTCCATCAAAACAAATATTGTCACCAGCTTCTCCCCCTTCCTTTTGCCAAGGTCATTAATAGCGAGATAGATACAGTTTCTTAAAAGCTTCCCCAGTTACCTCTCTCCTGCCTGTTGCATTTCTGACACATCCTTAACATCTGATTGTTTTTGTTTAGGCTGGCTTTAGCCCCTGTCACTTTCAGTGACACACTTTTGCAGTCAGCGGTTCCTGGACCATTCCTCTTTCCAGTGCCCTCTGAGTAGTCTCTGACTTCCCAGCACACTTGGTTAGTTTTGCTCCATCAGACTTCACACCTCCTGCCTAAATACAGGGGACCCCTCACTCATGTAGAACATCTCCGTGGGTTTCCCGATTTTCCGCTGTGATCAGCAGATGAACCTTCATGATATCTGCTTAGAGAATCCTCTCTTCCCAATCAGGCTTCTGCAGAGAGACTCCTAGTGCCTGCAGAGAGGTATCTCCCTCTGGCACAACCTAGGAGCCTTCCTCCCTTCCAAGCAACATAGCCATGTTGGGGCAAATCACCAGGCCCCCTCACCAGAGGGCTGGTTGTTTCCAGCTCCCCATATCTAGTGTCAGAAATGCCCCTTGACAAGCTCACCAGGTGTCAGCTATTCTGTTACAAAGAGACTGTTCCTGGCCTTTGAAGCTGCTGACATCCAGGTGTCTGAAGACATGGTTGTTACAACACTTGTTCTTCCTTCTCTCCAATACCACTGGAAAATCACTAATTTTCCAACACATCTGGGTATCCTCCACCCACCAGGCTTCACAGGCACGCTCAGAGTCCTCGCTCATACACAGGGAGCTTGGTTTCAAGGAGATCATCTCTGGAGGTATCTTGGCTTTCCAGCTAAGCCAGTAAAAGGTCCCTCTCAACATCTGATTTCTGAAACCCTTTTCTCTCTTTTTCTCATTTCCCCGGAGAGATTTTGTGTCCCTTCAGACTGTGACCTTCAC